TTTTTTTTTTTTTTTTTGCTGTGGACGCCCTTCAGGACTGCCTTCTTGGCCTATTAATGCCTTTGCTTTGGCTTCAGTTTTGGGAGGGGCAGGGGCTTCCTTCTTGGCTTTCGGCGCCATCTTCGTGGAAAGGCTACATGTACTTTTTTACAAAAATATGACTGTGATTTCAATGAAAGTTTACCCAGCCAATTGTTTTTGTATTCAATCACTCACCTACATTTCATGGCATTGAATATACTCCCCACATAGCAACAGCATTCTTTGCATTTCCTCCTTGTGTTGTCCGTTTCTCTTTGCTACTCTTTGCTACATCTTCCTGCCTTCTGCAGTTTCTTGTTATGTGCCTGTCACTGAGTCAGAATGGACTCATAGCTGACCCTCAGTGGGTTTTCTGAGGCAAGAAATCACATGGGAGAAGATTGCCCATTATTCTCCCACAGAGAAGCTGGAGGATTTGAACCATGTATCTTTTGGTTGGTTGCTCAACTCTTTACCTACTAGTCCATCCCCTCAGAGCTTTATCCCTGGGTCAGTGGTACCCCTTTAGTCATGTATAATTTTACTGTTTTGAGTAGTGTATCCCTCTCTGGTGGTATTGATCACTTTATAAGTCTGTCCTGTCTACTGTTCCCCTGGGAGTTGAGTTATAGGGATAATTTCAGTTTGAGCACTAGAAGAGTGACTGAGACCATAGTCTCAGTTGCACCAATCTCTATCAGACCGGTAAAGTAACCTTATATTATTTTGAGTCTTACTCCACATCTTTCTCCCACTGTGTTCGAGACTTCCTACTGTGATCCCTTTCCAGCAGTGCAGTGATAGTTGAGGACCATCAGATTCTTTGTCTCACGGAAGCCGGGGTTCATCTGGCCCATTAGCCTTTTCAGTATTGTTTACATGCATCCATGCAGTGTTGGTTTTCTTCACTCTTCTTTGTTAGGAATGGGAAAAGACCAATCAGTAGTCACACCTTAGATTCCGAGTTAGACTCGATAACTCTGCTTTAAAAAATGGTTCTGTCTCATGCTTTCAGACTCTTAACAAGCAGAGATGAGGTAAGATAATTTAATTTTTTTCACTGCAGTTTCTCCAGAGCCCAACACAGTGACTCATGGCGACCCATGAACAGATCAAAACCTTGCCCTAGTCTAGTGATCTCTGCTGTGCTTAAGCCCACAGTTGCAGGTGCTCTGTCAGTCCATCTTGTTAAGGGAGCCTTCTTTTTTTTTTTTTTTATTACTCCATTTTTCCCAACATGATGTACTCCACTTTTCCCAACATGATGTTTTTTTCCATGGACTGTGGTGAATTTAATTATTAATCTTTGATTTTTTTTTTCATTCAGCTAAGTTTGTGGTGGGTTCTTGTAACACCTTGCCTGTCTTGTACTATTATTCTACATACATCTATGCTCTGATATAGTCTCCATGGGCTGGGTTGAGGACCAAGGCTTGTCTAAGAGCATTTCTTGAACAGAGTAGAACTGTGTGTATACTTCTGGGTAATTAAAAGTTCAGATGAATGGCTTGATCGTTCCTATATCTAATGATCGGGTTTTATTTAGTAGTTCACTGGTTGCTTTGTCACGTTCTGTTACACATCCCTGATTTCTGGACGTTAGTAGCGGAGAAATCTAGCTTTGAAGTTCCTTTTGGGGTGAATCTGGAAAAAGGATCTTTGTCTCTTCTTCCCACTCCAGATGAGTAGGACCAAGGGTGATGAGGAGGAATACTGGAACAGCTCCAAGTTCAAAGCTTTCACCTTTGATGATGAAGATGATGAGCTCTCACAGGTGGGTTTGCTCAAGGTCACACCTAACCCTACAGTGCCTCACTACTATTCCTTCCCCTTAGAGGCTACATCACCTGACTCCATTAGGAATGTTTTGAGTCAGAGTTTTAGAAGAAAGCTGATGGAAAAGAGTCCTCAGAAAAGAGCTAGAAGGCAAGCTCTGGTGGCCTAGTGGCAAGAAACTGCACTGCAATCCCAGAGGTGTGCAGTCCAAATCCACCAGATGCTCTCCTGGAGAAGTTCCTCATGTACCAGTCAGATCTGATTTGACAGTTGTTGTTGTTGTGGTCAGGTGCTGTCGAGTCTTAGCCAACTCATAGCAACCCTATGAAAGGCCTGAGCACTGTTCATACATAGAGTTTCTGGAGACAAGCCATTTCTGAAGTGGATGCCGCTCCTGCTTCCAGGCTTGTTTTAGTTGCGAAGCTCCAGCCAACACTATGCACCATGGGTACCCATTACCATGATTGGCACATCAGTGTCACAGTGTTCAGCATCACAGCAACCACGAGTTACCTCTGTACAGCAATGCATGGACCAGTGCTATATTTGATGGTACACACAAAAAATAATAATAAAAATGAAAAGAGCTAGAAGGATTGCAGACACCAAATCTGCCCTTCTTACTGTACCTTTATGAGGTGATTCATTCTTCTTAGACTTTTCTACTTTCAGAGACCCTAACCCTTTTATTCATATGACACAGTTTTGGTACTTTAAAAACAATTTGGATTGGAAATTTTGTCTCTGTGTCTTATTTTACAAATGAGTAAACAGATTCTGTTTTGGAGAATTTATTATATCCACATAGAATGTGGCTTTTAATCCTTACTCTTTTGCCACTGGACTGCAGTGCTGGCTGAAAAACAACTTGTTTTCTTGATAAATACCTAGCTGCCTAGGCTCTTTGTTGCAGAGTGTGAAAACGTTGGCCATCTTCAAGTCCCAGTTTCTCAGCCCTCTTGGTTGTGGAAGAAAGAGCTGGGAAGCTGTGGTTCCCTGAGTGTCCTGCTTTCCGTCTCTCCACAGCTGAAGGAGTCCAAGCGAGCAGTGAATAGCCTTCGAAACTTTGTGGACGACGATGACGATGATGATGATGATCTGGAGAGAGTCAGCTGGAGCGGGGAACCTGTGGGAAGTAAGTAGAGGAGGCTGTGAGAAGTGATTGATGCCTGTGGTTCTTGTCATCATTTCGGAGGTTCCATTTGTTTTATCTCTTCAGTGCTTGTCAGGGAAGGGAATGCTGCTAGGTTGTTTTCAGATGATCCTACATGTGCTCAGGGAAGTACAGCCATAGTTCTCTGGCATTCTGTGTCTCCTTCCTTATGACCAATACTTGGCTGACTATTTCAGATTCATCTAGGGTACTTGTTAAGACTATAGATTTCCTACACTTCACTGCAGAGATTTTATTCAGTAGGTAGAGGCCACTCAACTTTAATAAGCACTTCAAGGGATTCTGATGTTGTTGTTGTTGTTGTTAAGTGCCTTTGAGTCGCAGGCGACTCATAGCGACCCTATGAAGGAGAGTTCTCGATGACCCTATGAAGGAGAGTTCTCGACGCTTGGGTGCCTTTCATCCTCTCCAGGTTCATAGGGTTTTCAGAGGCAAACTATTATGGAAGTAGATGCCACTCTTCCTTCCAAGCTTATTTTAATCGGGGAGCTCCACCCTACTCTCTGTCCACATTGGGTAACCAGCCATTAACACATTTGACACATCATTGTCACAGTGTTCAGCCTCACAGCAACCACAAGTGATCATGGTCCAGCCGGCAACTTGTACACCAGGGCTATATGACATAGAGGAATGTCTGAAAAAAAAACAATGAAAGACAGGCCTGAGGGCCGCAGATTAAAAGGCACCCACCTTTGGCTTGGTAGCATCGCTTTCTGTCCACTGGGCCAGCTGATCTCTCTCTCTGTGTTGATATTATTGTTGTTAAGTGCCGTCGAGTCGCAGGCGACTCATAGTGACCCTATGAAGTAGAGTCCTTGGTGCTTGGGTGCCTTTCATCCTCTCTCCAGATTCATATGAACCTGGAGAGAGGGATTCTGTCACATTCGGGAACAACTGACATTAAGTACTCATGACTTTTTTAGCTAGCAAGTCTCACTACCTTGCTGGTAAATGGTGCTGCTTAGCACGTTTGCAGAGTCCGTCTGGATACTTGGTAAGGCAGAAAGTCAGCTGTGGTTGTTGTTGTGTACCGTCGACTTGGAACCGACCCATAGCTGACCCTCCGGTGGGTTTTCAGAGACAGTTAATTGCACGCGAGGAGATTGCCCATCCTTCTCCCACGGAGCAGCTGGTGGCCTTAAATCATGTGCTTTTGGGATTGCAGTGCAGATTCTTGCCACTAGGTCACCAGAGCTCCCTGGAAAGTTAGTATTAAAAAAAAAAAAAAGCAGTCCTAGCAAGATTGACAAGAGTGTCTGCAACAATGGGCTTCAGCGTAGCAGTGATTATGAGGCTGTTTAGAACCTGGCAGTGTTTGATCTTTTGTAATAGGGTCAGTGTGCTTTGGATGTGACACCATAGGATATAACAGCAAACCGTCTGAGTTTTTGAAAGATAAACTCCTAGAGTAGTTACTGTTGTTTTCAGGTGCTGTAAAGTCAGCTTCGTCTCCAGGCCTGTGTGTATCAGAGTGAAACGCTGCTCAATCTTCCTCCTCGCACCTCGTTGAAAGGCTCCTTCTTTGCTAGCAGAGGATGATTGCATCTGTGTCACGCAGATACTGGCCTCCCCAGAAGGTGCATTGATTTACATTCCCGCTGACAGTGTCAGAGTTCCTCCACAGCCTCACCAACACAGGGTGGTAATCAAACTTCTGCTCACCTTACGGGACACCCGTGAAAGCTCAGAATGTTGTTTTGTTTTTGTTTGTTTTGTTTTTGACTCTTTAAGCTGTTATTTTGTTGTTCTTGAAAATACATACATTGAAACATACATCCATTCAACAATTTCTGCATGTATAATACAGTGCCATTGATTACATTCTTCAAGTTAACCCTCCTTTTTTTTTAATTAATTTTAATGGAAGTTTACAGAGATTTTGGATTTCCATTCATTCAACTGTTGCACTTTTCTCCCTGCCCGCCCCATCCCTCCAGTTCACTCTTCTCTTTGAAAAGTAAAAGAAAAACTCTTTCATTGTAATACAATCCCTTGCCCCAAGTCCACTTCACTATGCAACCTTCATTGTGGACTCCTGTTATGACAATAGTTCTCTCTCTAAATCTTTTTCAATACAGTATACATTATTTATCCCCCCTGTCTTAGTCTCCTCCCAACCCAGATGTCAGTCCCATTTTACGATAGTGGCACTATGCTGTATTTGTCCTTTTGTGACTGATATATTTCACTCAGCATAATGTCCTCCAGTGTCACCCATTTTGTATAATATTTCATGAGTTCCTTGTTTTTCAATGCAGCATAGTATTCCATTGTGTGAATATAGCAGAGCTTCATTTGTTTGTTGATGGGCACTTAGGTTATTTCCAACTCTTTGATATTGTGAACAAAGCCGTGATAAACATGAATGTGCATATATCTGCTTGGGTGGCGGTTACGGTTTCTTTGGGGTATATTCCCAGTAGTGGAACTGCTTGGTCAAATACTATTTGTATTTCAAACTTTTTGAGAAAGCGCCATACAACCTTCCACAGTGGTTGTACCATTTTACACTCCCACCAACAGTGAATAAGGGTTCCAGTTTCTCCACAACATCACCAGCATTTGTTGTTTGCTGTTCTGTTAAATGTTGCTATTCTTACTGAGGTGAGAATGCTTTTAATTTTTAATGACACCTTTAGGTTGCTGTCGCTGAATGGTACATGTTAAAAATGCCAGAATGACAAATATTTTGTTATGCATATATTTACCTCAATTAGTTTTTTTAAAAAAGGTTGAGTATTTTTTAACATATATTTAAGAGAATTTTCTTTTCTGCAATCCGCATATCCGTGTCTTTGCCCATTTGTCTATTGATTTAATCTATTTCATTCCTTCCTTTCTGCCTGCCATAATTTTTTGAGACTGAGGTAACCTACGAGTTAGGGGCTCTGGTGAAAAGCTGTTAAGATTTATTGGAATGTTAAATGTTGAGAATTTGTTTTACATGAGTATTGCTGATTTTGTCCTTGCTGCCTCAGGTATTTCTTGGACCATCAAAGAGACTGCTGCTAACAGTGGATCAACCCCTGAGGGTCGTGAACAGAAGAACAGAAGCAGCTTATCCTCCACACAGCTGCCCAAACCCACTTCCACCTACTCCCTGAGCAGCTTTTTCAAAGGTGAGGAATGCTTGTCAAAGGGCATGAGGACCCTCCTTTATTTTATGTTAAGTCTGGAAGAAGAAGATTATGAAAAGATAGGGACTTACCAGTGAAGCTGAAAGTTGGGATTAGGAGTTGGAGAAGAGAGCAATTCTGAGGAAGCAGACTGGGGTTCTTGAAGAAGATGAACAAAGTTGGCATTGATTGGCCTGTGACAGATACTGAAGGGAATAGTCCAGAATACTCCCCTGCTTTTTTTGAAGGTACCACAAATTTCTGAAGTTGAAGAAAAGCTTTTGAAGCCCCAAGTTCCCATATTGCAGAACATTGTCTGCGTGTGTCCTTAACCGAGTGTGGATGGCTTTCACTTGAACTGTTGGTTTCTTCCCTCGTGTGTTCTTTAGGGAGAACTAGACTTGGAAGTTTCCAGTCCCTTTCTGATGGTACGCATTCGACCCTCTTCTCTTCATTGCTATGGGGGGTGTTACTGATCTGGGGTACAATCTGGGGTAGGTGGTAATTAGATGATCATACGAATTTTCTTCCAAATCTATCATTACTATTAGAGATAGTTTGTGATGCTTTATATAGAATTGTTTTGACTACAAGAGTGGAAGTGGGGAGGTTGACTCCTAGGAAGAAATTAAAGCCTAATTTGAGCCAAATAAAGGCCTTGGGAGCCCACAAATTTGAAACAAAATTTGTGTTTGAGAAGGAAGCAGAAGAAAGGGAACACAGGAAACAAGACCCGTGGTGCCTTGAAGACCAGCTTCCTAGGGTGCCGTGGGTTACTTTAATGGCTGGGTTTTTTTTTTAGCTCTCTCGGACACACCTGCTAAAAGTTATGCTCCAGAGCTGGGGAGACCCAAGGGGGAATATAGGGTAAGTTACAGCTTAACACTAGTGTGACATTTCACATGTTCTATAAAGTTCTTTGGCATACATTATTTTTCTCAGTTCTCCTATCCCTTTGAGGTAGGTATAATAGGTGTAATTTTAATGTCCCTTTATTTATTGATAAGAAAACTGGATTTCTTCCCATCCACACTTGCCTCACATCTTTCAGCTAGTCCACTGAGGGGCTTGGACTCATCTCTGTTTCCTGACTCTGTGCCGGCATACCCTTCTTACTCATTATGCTGCCTTTTGATGGCTGTGCTTTGAAACTCAGAGATTGTCACTATGGTTTAGTGGGTTGGTGACACTCATATTTCCATGAAGCAGCTTTAAATAAGGAAGAAACTATATTCTAAGATGTAGAAAGAGCATGTCTCAAAAGTAGGCCCTCTTTCCCACATTAATTCTTAAAATCAATTCATTCAGCTGATGAAGAAAGAGGTCAAGAAATCCTTTTTGTGAGGACAAGTGGAGTCTTAAAATTTGATTGTATCCTCTAATTGTATCCAAGGGTTGAAGTCAGTAGGTATAGGATTGCTGGAATTTTTTTATCAGATGTTTCATTCCTTTAATCTTTTCTGTCTCCTATGAGTAATGCCCCTATTCTACTTCTTTAGAAACTCAGAACAAGAGGGTCCTAGTTCTTCATTTCTTTTTTCCATCCCCTCCCACAAAATCATTCCCCCTAGGGAATAAGACTTTGAGTTTGAGGAATGCTCTCAGTGATCAGAATACTCTGATTCTTAAACTTCTTAGGATCTAAATGTTGCTTTTATTCCAGGATTACAGCAATGACTGGAGCCTCAGTGACACAGTACGGCGCCTCCGGAAAGGGAAGGTAAGGGGTAGAATTCTTGCAGGATTTGGGACCTCAACACCTTGTCCTTACAGGAAGGATTTCTTGACCTCTTTCTTCATCAGTTGAAGGAAGTGCTTTTCAGGAGCAAAATTAATCCACAAATGTCAAAAGTTCCCAGTGTCCGATAGGTGTCACTCCTGACCCGTGATGACTATGTGCTCCGCAGATAAAAACCTTGCCTGTTCTGTGCCATCCTCACAGTCTCCACTGTGAATTTAGTGTTTCAGAGTTATGGGTGAGAGGGGATGATACATTTAAGAGTGAGGTATCTCTTCCGTTAGTCTGTGATAATCTTGTAAATTAATTTTTGTACATGATGTGAAGTGAGGCTTGCGGTTCTAATTTTCTGCATATAGCTCTCCAATTTTTCCAGCATAATTTTTGAAAAGCTTTAACCTTTTCCCATGAGATTACCTTTTTTAAATGTCTTTGTCAAAGGCCATTTGACCATATAAGTATGACTTTATTCTATATTTTCTCTTTTATTTCATTGTCTATTCTTATACCAGCACGGCACTATATTAGCTGTTGTAACTTTGTAGTAAATCAGGCAATGTAAGTCCTTAAATTTTCTTCTCTTTCAGAATTATTCTAGTTATTCTTGGTCTTTTGCATTTTTATGTAGATTTTAGCATCAACTTGTATGAAGGAAAATGCTGCTAGGCGAAACGTAATGAATATGAATTGTTAAATGGAAATTCAGCATTCTCTGTACACTTGTATCAAAACCTACTAGGGTTTTGATTAGGATCATATTGAATCCATAGATCAGTTTGTGGAGAATATTATAATAATTAAACGATTTTTAAAAATAGACCATCGACCTAACTCTAAATCAGGGCTAAAACTAGAACGTTTCCATACGATAATGTAGGCCACAAAAAGCATGAACCATTAAAAAACAAATAAAATAGACTTTAAAAAAAGTAAAAATTGAAAAAAAAAAA